TTGTTGGCTTCTTGTCATCATTGGCCTCCTCTCCCATCTTTTCTGTGTAGCTGCTGTGCCTAGGACACAAATTAAATCGGATCTAAACACAGGTTAGAACTCTGTTCAAAATCCCCCAATGAATGTTTTCCCAGACCCTGCTATTTCTCCTTATCTCTGATCACCATCTGTCTACCTCTACTAAGGTTGGGCATTTTTGTTTGCTGCTGTAACTCTACAGCCTTGATCGGGCCTTAATGACCCACAAGCACCCTATAAATACACCGAGTGAATAAATAAATACACCGAGTGAATAAATAACTCAGATACTAGAATAAAATTCTATCTACAAAATGATATAAGACTTGATTTCATCACCTCATTGCTGACTTGAGAAGACAAAAGATGTCCTCTCCTCAACCCTCTTAGTTAACAAGAAAGGGCGTCTGCAATTCGATGCAAAGCAGAGAATACCGGGTTTGGACTTAGAAAACATTTCAAAGCCCCGCTCAGCAACGACTAGTAATGTCCTTACGCGGATCACTTAACCTCTCTGAACCTTTCCCTCAGATGTCAACGGGAGGCACTCACATTTCCTCACACAAAGTGTTGATATGGGGATTAGAAGGGACTGTTAGAGGAAAAGATCACTGCGTAAACTATAAAACGCCAAGAAAATAATTAAGTTTTTTCCTATACACCACCGCAGCTTTAGGTCTGGCCTTTGACCCAACTAACCTAGACACGAAATCCTCCCAAGTCCCAAGAAGGCGACAGTTGCTTTTTTGAGCTTATTACCGCACCTGCACAGCCAGAACCTCCAAGTGGTAAATCGAAAAGCCCTGCCAGGCACGACCCAAGGCCAAGTGCAGCCACTCAGGTCCAAACCAACGCCGGAAACAAGGGAGTTCCGCACTTGCGCAGTGGAGGAGCGGTGTTCGCGCGATACCCCTTGGGATTTGTAGTTGTGAGAGACTAGCCGTGAGCAGTTGAGCTTGCGCAGCCGCTCCGCCTTCTGGGAGTTGTAGTTAAAGGATTATTTTGATTGTGACGCCAAAAGTGGGCGGGGTAGCGGTAGTCGCTGTTTCTCAAGCCTACCCAGTTTACTCAATAGGCGTGGAGGTGACGCCCCAGCACCTGGGCGGCGGCCACCGCTCCTGGGCCAAGGGTTGCCAGGCGGCCGTTAGAGACTACCCACCCCTTCAGTTCACCTGTTACCCCGGCAGGGCAAGGGCAGCAGGAAGGATTGGAGTCTTCCTAGCTAGGACCCACGATAACCTGCTCGCCTGGACCACAAGCCAGGAAGTGATGAAATTAGCAAGCCCCTTTTTAAATATTTATTTTTTAGGAAGGGGAAAAAAGTATCAGTGTGTGAGAGAAACATGGATTAGCTGCCTCTGTGTGCCTCCTACTGGGGACCTGGCCTGCAAGCCAGTTGTGTGCCCTGACTGGGAATAGAATAGGTGACATTTTGGTTCAGGGCAGGTGCTCAATCCACTGAGCCACACCAGCCAGGGAAGCAAACCTCTTTCACACAGGAGGAAACCTAGTGGTAGGGAAGTTGGGGAAAACAGCTTCTCAGAGGCCCACCTTGGCTGTCATCCCCTACCTGACCAGTGCTTGGCACCTAGAGGATGTTAAAAAAAAGTTTTTTTAATTTATTGATTTTATGTATATAGAGAGAAACAGCTATTTCTTTTTCCACTTATTTATGTATTCACTGGTTGCTTCTTGTATGTTCCCTGACCAGAGAGTAAACCACAACCTTGACTATGGGGACAACGCTGTAACCAACTGAGCTATGGCCAGGGCAAAACTAAATTAATAATAATAATATCAAAATATAAAATTCAAGAATTTCTTCCAGGTATTCTATAAGTCAATTTGGTCATTACCCAACAACGTCTTTCTTACTGAGCAGAGAGTGTTGTTGAGGACTCCCTCCTTCCCACAATCCCTGGCAGTTACACCAAATCAATCACTGACCCTGCAGGCAACAGGTTGAGCCACGTCTATAAGCCTCTTGTCAGAAGCTTGGACTTTGGAATCTTGTATTCTTTGCTATGCTGCTTGCTCACTGTGTGAATTTGGACAAATGACAGGCTTATACTCCCTGAGACCCAGTTTCTTGTCTGTAAAATAGGGATAATAACAGTACCCGATGTCTCAAAGTCGTTTTGAAGATTGAATGGGATGATACACATAAAGTACTAAGCATGATGCCTGTAATTCATAGAAAGCATCTGATGTTAGCTTTCAAGTTTTTATTATAGTTTGAGGAGAGGAAGCTGTAACAATGCCATTCATTTTTACAGTGCTTTACATTTTTTTCAAAGCCCTTTCAGGTATCTTCTTTCACGGCCACCCTGTAAAGTCAGTTTTATTCTCTCCAGATGAGGGAGGAGACATAGGTTAAGAAACTAGTCCCAGCTAGGACACAAACCCAGATTTTGGAGTCTGAGTGCAGTTATTATAATAACAGCAAACACATTTGTAGTGCCAGGTACTGTCCTCTGGGCTTCACAGGTGTAAAGTCACTTAATCCTCACAAGAATCCTGTGAAGTACACACTGTCACTGTCATCCTCATTTCACAGATGAGTACTTCTTTTCAGTCCAGCGCACATGGTTAATCCAGACTGAGAAACCCGGGGAGAGTTTTCTGGGTTGCCTTTTCCCCACTGGCCCTACCTTAGCACCCACTTTCTAAGAATGCCATTCTCACTCCTCACTTTTCAGTTTTTTCTTTGATGGCTTGCTTTAATTATTTCATTCATTCACCATGCACGTATTAGTTCTTCAATCAAGTATTAGGTAGCCCCTAATCTGTCACCATTCTTCAAATATGCAATTCTGGTCTTCCGTTTGCAAAATTTCTCCCCATTCTCTCCTGAGCTCATTCTCTCCTGTTTCCATGCACTCTTACTCCAAGATTGATTTCTTTGCCTCCATTCTCTTTCCCTAGAGGCAATTTCTTCCAATTATCTGAAGGTCATCTTTATTTGGATATTGTATAGCTATCCAAAGCTGAATTTAGGGAGAACCCACCCCACCTCCCTCTTTAGATTGCTCTCTATTCTGCTTCTCAAACACAGCGAATCAGAGCACAGTATTTCAAACACCAGTGCTTGCCTACACTCCCCTTTCTCACTTTCATCAGGCCTTCTAGTCATCTCCGCCCCACCCCTAAATAACACTGTCCTTAGGAGTCTTTTTCAGTCTCCTCTCCAGCTAAATCCTTGGTCATTATCTTCCTGAGTTAATTTGATACCCCTTTTTTGCCTCCAAACTTTCAATCCTTGCCCCCAAACTACTCACCTTCTTTTTCCCACTACTTCCCACTGTTTTCTTCGAAAAAAGAAAAATGGTTCCTTGTATTCCTCCTACACTTACTTCTCCTTTCTCATCTAATGCCCAGACCAAAACACTTCCCTCTTCTTTCTTTTATGTATGTATGTATTTATTTATTTTTAGAGAGAAGGGAAGTGAAGGAGAAAGAGAGGAAAACATCAATGTGTGGTTGCCTCTTGCACGCCCCCAGCTGGGGACCTGGCCTGCAACCGAGGCATGTGCCCTGACTGGGAATCAAACTGCTCACTCACCCTTTGGTTCACAGGCTGGTGCTCAGTCCACTGAGCCACACCAGCCAGGGCTCCCTCTTCTTTCTTTACTGAATTCTCCCTCTCAACATCAACCTGTGGTACTATCACTCAAGATACCCACATTGTGCTTTCAGAATTTACCTTAAACTCCAGAATCTTTTGATTAAATATCCAGATTTTTTTTCTTCATACCCAGCTAGCAATGCCTCCCATTATATTTCCCTACCTGAACTCTGTCCACTGCTGACATAGGAAAAGGAAAACAAGCTCCCCACAAGCAGCCCTTTCTGTAAGTTCCTACCTTTATCACATGTCATGTTCTGCATGTTAGCCTGGTAGAAACTGGCTTTTTTTTTTTTCATCTTAGAGGATGTGTTCTGTGACCACATACTTTAGTGAGGTCCACAGGGCAGCACCCCATGAGAAATATTCTAAGTCAAATGAAAATATAACGAATTTGATAGAAAGATATAAGTTCTTAATAAGATACAAATTTGGCACGTCTCTTGAGCTATCAGAATTTTTAATAGTAAATCCTTTGGGGTTTCAGGATATTAAGTTGAGAACACCTTATTTCACATGTCCATGAGATAAATATCGTTAGCTTAATTTAGCTAGTGAGGGGAAATGGGGCACGAAGAGCATCAGTAACTTGCCCAGTGGTTGTTGCCAGCTCAGATCTCTGAGACCAAAGCCAGACACTTGTGTAAAGATGCAACTCATCTGCTCACTCGGGAGCATCAGCTCTGTGCTAGGCACTGCAGCCCTGGGATGCAGAGAGGACCCGGCCAGAGGACCTGCCTCAGAAAGTTTACTGCCCAATAGAGAACTTTATGTAACGTGGATGTCTCCATTCACAAAGCACAAGGAATTTGGAGGTAGTTGATGAGAGGCTCCTGCATATGAGATTCATATTGGGTCTATGACACCTTCAGGGGTATTAAGCTGAGACTGACACAAGCTTGGGGACACAATGTGCCCTGTGTGCCCATTACTATGTCTTTCTTTTCTCTGCATCAGGCTGGGGTCAGAGCTGAACTGAGAACTGTTATCATCCTGAACGTGTTATCATCCATCTCACTGTCCCCAACCTTGCCACCTCCTTTCCTCCAGTCCTGTCTGTCACCCGTACTCCATCCTTGCCCAGCTCTGTCCTCACCTCAGGTTCCATCTCCTGAGCCACACTGCCTTCCTTCTCAGCTACTAGCCTTTCCTCTTTTGCAATCCTCCTGGTCCTGCCCCTCAGTCCCCATCCCAGCCTTATTCCCCCCAGCCCCATCCCTCGATGCCTGCCCCCTCCCTCCCTCCCGACCAGCCTCCTGTGTCTCCCAGCCCTGCTCTGACGTGGGAGGTGAGGGGGTGGGGGGATGGATGACTCACAGTGTTATGATGCAGTTCCACAACACACAGCTACATTCACCCACAGACCGAGGTACAGACGAGAGACAACCTCTGGCCCCCAAGCAGCTGGCCAGCTTTGCAACCTGTCTTGAGCCCCTAACTCCCCTACCCCGTCCCCATCCCCTTCCCCGTTGGAGGAGCGGAAAGAGAAGAGAGAAGAGTGAGCAGACAGATTGAGAGAGAGAGAGAGAGAGAGATAGCCGGAGATCTCTGGAGCAGACCTCAAGGTGAGGGGGCAGCCCTTCTCCAAACGAATTTTTCCCCTTTGCAAATTTTCTCCTCCTGCTGCGCGTTGCTTTCTCCCCTTTGCAAAAAGCATTATTCATCCACCCTTTGTCCTCCCTTCCCCCTCCCTGCTGCCTCCGCTCCTCTCTCAGCTCCTCCATCCCTCTCCAAGCTCTGATGTTCCCCACACTTATCTCCCGGTAACTTTGGCTGCAGCATCAGGCATCACTGTTTATTGTTTTGCTGCTGGTGCAGACCCCCCAAAGCCCGCCCTGGGAGCTGGCTGCGCTGCTAACGATTTTGGACCATACCATGACGAGAATGCCAACCCAGAGGGGGCCGAAGCCTCAGAGCAGATGAGAAAATCCATTGTGAGCAGGTGGCCCCCTCCCTTTTTCCCCGCTGAGAGGCATGGAATTCGCACCTGGTTCCTGGAGCCTCTGCCTTGGGGCCTCTGCTGTCAGCGATGGTTGCTCAGCACCGCCCCCCCCAACCCTCCCTCTCCCCTGCCTCCCACGGTCCAGCCCTGGCTCACTTGGGGAACATCCTTTCCCCAGTACTCAGCTTGCCTTTGTTTTTCCCCGTCATTTGCCCAACTTGCTTCTCCCTGTAATCTGAGGTGAAGAAATGACCCCTATTCCCCCTCCTGTGAGTGATTCTCTGGGCTGTGCAGCCTCTGCTTGGCTTGATGGGGAAGCAGGGAGAGGAGAGAGGCGTGCCAGAGGCTGGGAAGGGGGCCGAGCAGGAAACTGGCCGGGCGGCCCCTCTGAGCCCTTTGAAGGTGTTCTAGGTGGAGCGGCAGAGGGGCAGGGCAGGCAAAGTTGGAGGTAGATCTGTGAAGCAGACGCTGACGAGTGCCGTGCTGATGAGGAGGGCCCATTTCCTGTGGCCAGAGCCCAATGTCACCCTGAATTCAGCCCAAGGTGTCTTCCTGGGGCACAGCCAGGAGGGCAGGACCCCAAACTGAAATTTGCCCCTGTCGAGGGAGAGGGTTTGTGGAGAGACTGCCCAGCGCCCCCAGTAAGGACTGGAACTGCTGGGGCACTAGCGGCCACCACAGAGGACAAAGTGACAGCCTGTTAGCCCTGCTCTGCTTCACAGCCTGTCATTGCCAGAGCACCCAGCTGGCACCTCTGAACCAGACGGGCTAACCACCCACAACAGACCTGAAGGCCTCATGAAGGAGAGGGCAGAACTTCACCTGCTTATCAGGGCCAACCGAGGACACCTCCCTTCTTATCCTCTGCCTCCAGCACCCTTGGCCGTTTGGGGGCTGCAGTTTGGACAGATGTCAACATCTTCCTCAAGACTCCTGATCAGAACCCAGCGATTATTTTATCTTCTGTCACCCACAGGGGCACTGCTGTGTGTCCCTGCCCCTGGGAGAGATGGGAACATTCTCTGCCTTTTGCCCCAAAGCAGTTTTTGAAAATGCAAGTCTCCCTTTTGCTGCTCATTGAGAACGTCGCCCCTACACTACAACGCTCAGCCCTGTTCAGCCCAGGAGCGCTGCCTTCCCTACTGCGGGCTCCATTCCCCCATTGATTCCAGCTGTCAGATCTGCCTGAGGGGGAGTTTCTCCCCTACAGCTGAGGGCCCAAGTCCTTGGTTGAGGGCTAAGGCAACAGTAAAGAGCAGCAGAGACCAAGGGGCTCAGAGGCTGAGAAGACAGCCAGGGACTGTTTCTGTGCCAAAATGAGTGGGCCAAGGGACAGGATTGGTCTTGGTACAGAAGGAGACACCCGTGAAGTTCTAGTCCCCAGGGAACAGGCCCCCAGCTCCGGGAAAGCACTGAAGCAGGGTGTGTGTGCTTGGCTGCTTACTCTCCTTCCATCTCATCTTCCTCTCCTGCCACACGAACTGTTTGAAGAACCAATTGCTGTAAATAGAGACGATGAAACAGAAAAACTGTCAGGCATCCCCAGCTTTTAAAAGGCTTTGAGCCCTAGCACCTATGGAGCATGTGGGAGGCAGGTCCTCACGGAAGAAGCGAAATCGAGGAGAGTGCCGGCACGTGACATTGCTCCCATGGCAGCGGGGAGCCGGCAGGCTGCTCCCCGTGGAAGTGGTGGAGGCTGCTCCCGCCTGGGGGTGGGGAGGAGACACCGCCTCCCCAGCTAGGGCACCGGAGGCCTGGAGCTGCTTCCAGACTTGCCAGAGAAGATGGGGATCCATGGACAGCGATGCTCAGAGTCTCTGGATGCTGAGTTGATGGTGATGGAGGACACTGAACAGTTGAGCCCCATGTTCTCCATTCCCTCAGGAGGGGCTCCACACGAGATCACGGCTCTCCTAACGCACCTTCCCCTCTTCCCAGGTGATTTCCATTTCTACCTGGTTCACGTCTGGGGGGGCCCTGGCCGGGCAGCCCCCCCACATTTCTCCTGCCCTGAAACACGGCTCTAGCCAACCTGCTCCGCTGCTTCACCTGCGACCGCCTGTGTGGGGGCTGTACCGCGCCAGCCCCTCCAGCCCGCCAGGGCATCGTCCTCCAGCCCGTCATGCCCAGCTGTGACCCCGGCCCCGGCCCCGCCTGCCTCCCCACCAAGACGTTCCGTAGCTACCTGCCCCGCTGCCACCGCACCTACAGCTGCGTCCACTGCCGTGCACACTTGGCCAAACATGACGAGCTTATTTCCAAGGTACGCCACGTGGGGGCCTACCACTCCCCTCCTTTCCCTGTCCAGGCTGGAACTCACCTGGGGTGAGGCAAAGGCAGCCTGCGCTCCCTCCTCCACGCCCTGGGAATTCAGGCAGTGGAGGCCAGGGCCACCCAGTAGTCACTGTTTGTCCTGTGTCTCCACAGTCCTTCCAAGGGAGCCACGGCCGAGCCTACCTGTTTAACTCCGTGTGAGTCCACCTCTCTTCTTGCGTGAGTGTGCTTGCGTGTGTGCATGATTTCCCTCTGTGGAGAATGAGGACGATCCCTCAGAAAGTGGCCTTGCACCTCTGCTTTGCCTCCTCTTGCAAAGGGTTTCAGAAACTCAGACTGCAGTTCTCCTGGGAGTCTGGGCAGAAATGGAATTCCAGTGTGGAGGAAGACGGTCCAGGCACTAGTCATAAAGGGGTGGGCTCCCATTAAGTGGGTACAGTTCTCCAGATGGAAGTTCCTTTGGGCTCTTTGGGGGCTGGACTGACAGTGACCCCACTGGGTGCTGGGTCCTCTGTTTCCTGAGACAGGGTCAACGTGGGCTGTGGGCCAGCAGAACAGCGCCTTCTGCTTACTGGGCTTCACTCGGTAGCAGACATTTTCTGTGAGAGCTGCAAAACCACACTGGGCTGGAAATATGTAAGTACCAGGGGAAAGTCATGCTCCAAAACCGACAGTCTCCATGGCCCTCCGAGCCCCACTGCACTGGGGTGGACTGGATGTGGGGGATTTTGGGGGGAGGGGTAATACAGGAGGTAGGAAGGCTTTGGGGGACTGCCTGGTCCACATGCACTGCTTCCTTTCCACCAGGAGCAAGCCTTTGAGACGAGCCAGAAGTACAAGGAGGGAAAGTACATTATTGAAATGTCACACATGGTGAAGGACAACGGCTGGGACTGAGGGGCTCAGGCAGGCAGTGCCCTTCCTCCGCATGCCCCACCCTCTCACCCCTGGCCCCGCCAAGAGTCCATACCAGCATGAGTACTGCCCCCCCCCGGGGGGGGGACCTGGCTGCTACCAACCCCTTCCGCCTCCACCTCATCACCCCCAGGCCTCTTTGGCACAGGGGTCTGGGCACCCCAGGGGTGGTCAAAGCTCAGGAGTGGGCAGCAGTCGGGGAGAGGCAGAACTGGTAGGAATGGTTGTGGGTCCTCCTGGCCCTAAGGTCCCAAGAACGGAGGCGACGGCAGGGCACGCACTCAGGCAGAGGACCATGGGAGGAATCAGTTTCGGATCCTTTTCGAGTGAACACAGGACAAAGCTTGAGTCAGGGACTGGCATATTCTGGGCCACATTAAGAGCAAAGGCTTAGGTTGGGATGAAATTTTGGCCTCAAAGGTAAACACCAGTCTCTGAAGTATCCCCACCACATTAGTTGGATTCTGGGGGTGGAAGGGGAAAAAAAAACCCAAATCCCAGGCCCTGGGAAATGAAGGAATCACAGGGGTTTCCATTTCACTCCACTTGTTTATCTTGGCACTAAAGAGGCACTTTCCAGTATCTAACCTTTGCCACTGTGGGGGGTGGGGAAAGCTGCCCCCGGAACGGCCCCCACCCCAGCTGGCTGTTTCCGGTCGGAGCAGTCTCGATGGGCACTCCCCGAGGCCCAGCCACTGCTCTCTGGGATTCAGTCCCTTGGAGAAGAGGTGGGAAATCAGTGCCACGGGGGCCAGGCTTCCTCGTGGCTGCCACCAGCGAACGAAACTTTTGTATGATAAAGTGTTTGGGTTTATTTTTAATAAAAAGGGGAAAAGCAGGCGTGAGGTGCTGTCCTCTGACTTTCCTTCCTTGGGCAAGTACCACAGTCACCTCCCCAACACTGCCTGTCCCTTCATGCCACTAGGGGGCAGCAACTGCTTTGTCTGTGGCAAGACCCCACTCCAGCTTTTACGAGGGGTTGGATATTCAAAGGTTTTGCTTTAGTGAGAGGTATTCCAGTTGGAGCACCCACAAGTTTGAGGCTAATGGAGCCCTTGACGATAAATCAATGTTTGCCTGAATCCAGGACTGGACACCTGGAAGAGGCTCATCCCAAAACTAGGGTGTTCTCGGTCCCCTGGCCTTTGCGTCTGATTGTCCTGTGTTTTGGTCAGCTCTCCGCCACACGTTAAGGCTACAAGGAAAATCGATCAGCTAAGGTGCTGTCCTTGTAGTTGATAAAAAGTGGAACAAAACAATTCAAAACTGCAGCATCAATGCAGTCATATGACCCAAGGGCAATTTTTGGCAGTGATGGTCAACTGCTATTGTTGTTGGGTCACTGACAGCAGCAGTGGGGAATGTACACATCCTAAAAGCCAGTCTTTGTCAGCTGGCTTGCTATTTCCAGATTCACTCATTGACATTACAAATACCTTCAGAGCAGCTGTTACTTGCCAGGCGTAGTGCTAACCACGAGGGACACCATGGAAAGGCAGCATAACCTGACTTCTTGACGGTCTAGTGGGCAAGGCAAACAGTAACCAGGCAATTCCGGTAGGTGATGGGATCTGAACAGAGATGGGGAGTAAGCCTGGGAGCTTGCAGAAGAGGCTTAGCAGAGGTCTGAGTAATCAAGGCAGGCTTCACAGAAATGATGAGGGAGATGGCACTTGAAGGGTGAGAAGTTGGATAGGCAAAAGGAAGAGTGGGAGGAGGCAGGGAGTACTTCAGGCAGACAGAACTGTGTCAGGTGGCTCAAGCTTGGTCAATTTGAGGAGGAAATAAGTTCCCTATGTCTGACATATAGGCACAAATGGGCAAGAGATGAGAGGACACCGGAAAAGACAAGCAGGAGCCATAGACGACTTTGGGAATATAGATCTCATCCCAAGGGCACTCGGGAAACACTGAAAACTTATTTTTTAAACAAGAGTGGAGTGGCATCATGAAATGGCTGTTTTGTGCCCAGAGACTCAAATAGACATGTTAATAGACTGAGGAAAGTTATGGGACATATACTGTGGAGCATTTCAAATAGTGTCAACATCAGAATGGAGTTGTCTGGGCAGAACGTAACTGGAAGAGGTGCAAGGCAATGCAACCCCATCTGAGAGTTCTTGGGAGGGATACGTGTTGTTCCATTTCTGCATGCCTAGAGAACCTCTCAGACTCCAGCAAGAGACCCAGAACCCTGTCCTTTTTGATCCCATTTCTTGCACCAAAGTTCAGGAAGGCTTCTGAAGCCCCAACCTTAGGCACCAAATAGCTGCCTCCATAAGGCTCCCAGAATATGCCTTCTCTAAACTTACTTCAAGTTTCTGCTAAGCCAACTAGAGACCATGGGAAACAAAGGAGTGAATGGCATTAATTGTTGCTCTCATAGTCCTGTAATCTCTCCTGGAAGAATCCTTCTGTGGGCTTGGCTCAGGGATCCTATTTAGTCTCTCAGATCAGGTCATACACAGGCAATGCAGTCCAAATCTCGCATGCCTGGACAGGTGTACCCTCAAGGAAAATCATTATCAAATACCTGCGACCAGGAGGGGTTGTGGTGGGAATTCCAGGTGGAGAGGAAGACGCCTTTCTACACCCCAGGAGCCAGGGAAGGAGCCACAGGTGTGGAATGCCGGCGGAAGCCATGTCCTCACCTCTGGGGAAGAGCCCTTTTCTTTCCCATGTACCCCTGCCTGTTCATGGTAATCCACCAAGATTCTAGCAGGGATTCTCCCAATCTCCACTCACCACCCTCCAGTTCCAGGACAACCCTGAGAATCCTTCCTCCTTAGCCAATAAGCTACCACTTTTATCTGTCAGGCCTAAGACTTTTTATCCTCACACCACCAGCAGATGGCATCAAAACCTTCCACCCCTCAGTTCTGTTGAGAACCTACCCAAACCTCTTCAGGGAGGTGTCTGCAAAAAGATGGGTGAACTGTGATTTTAGGGCAGGGTTCTATCCAGGCTCTGCAATTTAAGAGCTACACAATCTTGGTTATGCTGCTTAAATCTTCTGGCTCAGTTTTCCCATCTGTGAAATGGGAAACTGTGAAACAAAGCACAGGCTGCATGTGGAAGTGCTTCTGTTAATGTGAGCTATTATTCAACGTGAGCTATATTGATTTGACTCTTACAGTGGGACTTCCCCATGCCCACCAGGGTAGCTGATTGGCGCCCAGATGGGAGAGGATATCTTGATGCTGAGGAGGCAGCCGGCGCTGGTAGCGCTACACAGCCAATGCCCTTTTAACATTGCACTGCTAGTGGTAGGTGCAGACAGTAGCACAATGTGAAAAGAGCTCCGGCCTGCAGCAGAGGCGAGCCGGCCCTGCCTCCTCGCCCCTCTCCCAGTCCCTGGCCCACTCAGCCTCCCTCTGCCCCCTCTCCATTCTGTGTTCATCCTCTATTTTCTCTCTACTCCTCGCCTTCTCTCTCATGCTTCCCAGCATGGCAACCACCATTTTCTTGAGTTTGGGGTGGGGAACATAGTCCATGGAGGCTGCTGAAGGGATACCTTGACCTTGGTACACAGTCTTCACAAGTGACTGGTGGAAATCCCAGAAGCATGGGGGACACTCCAGTTACCTGGGTTTGTATCTCTACCAGCTTTCCTTCTGGAGAGGAAGCCTGCCCATTAGGACCCCAGAATCCTCCATTCTTCCCTACTCGAAAGCTTGCTCCCCTTTTTAGTTTACATAGTGGGGTTCTAGGCCTCAAGAAGATACCTCAACCGAAGCTCCAGGATGGGGGGTGGGGGGTGTGTTGGAGCCACAGGTCCCCAGGCAGCACAGAGATGCTTCCAGGTCTGAAGGTGGAAGCTGCAGGTGATGCCCCACCCCTGCATGTCCTCTGAGGTCTTCAAAGTCCACTTTGTGGGTCGAGTGTGAAACAAAATTGTGAGGGTGACTCCGTCTCTTACGCTGAGCGGTGGGGTCACAGGCTTTCACAGGTAGTGGGTGAGAATCTCACTTGTTTTCCGTTTTACCCAGGGACTCCCATTAGAAGTCTTCAAGCTCACCCACAACTTCCCCACCCTACCCTGGTGGAGGGAGCTTTACTCTGGATAAACAATCTTGAGACTGACTAAAACCCAAAGTCTGAACACTGCTCTGGAGCGATACCTGGAGAGCCAAAGGTTCAATACAAGCAGGGCACACTCCTGGCTACAGCCGTGGCCCTAAACCCCAGTTCCAGCTCTGACCTGGTGAACTGGGGGCAGCCCAGAGGTGCAGAGGCTGTGGGGCGCTGCCCTCCTCCCCACTCCACAGCCAGTGGCAGAAATGGAGGACCGCACTGCAGCGGGGAGCTCTTCCTCTGGGCTTCCCCTCCAGCCTTCTCCCACCCTCCTCAGGAAGCAGGAGAGGTTCTCTCCCGCCCTCCCAGGCAGAGTTTGTTCCTGTGATCTGCAAACGCAAACACGGGGCCCTGTCCCATAGTTTGCACAGTACTAGCGGACGGAAACGAAGGCCCCGCTAGGGTCAGTCACCAGGCCTCTGCTCCTGAGTTGGGCAAACCAGTCCCAGCTGGGAACTGGATCATGTCAACAGAGGGCAGAGGGGCAAAGACGGGACTGCCCAGCCAGCTTTAGAGAAGCTAGAGGAAGATTCTTCACCAAGGAGTGCCCAGATCTCTCCTTGGGGGGAGAAGGGAGAGAAGGGGCTGGGGCCAAGATCCCCTCAGCTCTCACACCCAACTCATTCCAGAGCGGGATTCCCTGCGATTCACCAGCCAGCAGGGCCCCTCCCCCACCTTGGGCCCAGGAGCCATCCCCCAGCTTCTTCCAGAGGCGGGTGTAGAGACCGAGGAGGAAATGGGGGAGGGGAGGCCCAGCTCAAGTTCTCTCCACTCCCCCTCCTCATTGGCCACCATCTTCCGGCCCCTGCCCCCCAGAGCAGCAGGGGATGGGGCCCAGCCTGTGGAAGAGAGAGAAAGGGCCGGTGGAGGGTTAGCTGGAGCAGCAGGGGCAGCGGCTGGCCCCAACTGTCTCCTCCCACCCCCTCCTCGCAGCCATGGCGACAGGAGGAGGAGGCCAGGAGGGTCCTGAAAGCCATGTTCTGTGAATGGGATGAGAGGGGCAGTGGGGAAGGGCGGGGGGTGCGAGGCGCTCTCCCCTCAACACTCTACGGTGCCCCCACCCCCACCACACACACCTCGAGGTTGGACCACACACGCGCGCGCACACTCAACTCCCAACCACACTTGCCGCACAACTCAGCCCTTACTACACACTTACCCCAAACAGCAAGCACCAGAGTGTAAGCACACCGCTCCCCACCTCTCGCATCCCGTAACGCCCAAAACTCTTAGCTCTGGAGTGGGCCTCACCTCCGTACACAGTCCCTCAGCTCAGCCCAACTTCTGAAGATGCACAGCCCTCTGCCCTGCTCCAGCCCTTGGGCCGCTGCGATTCCCTGTGAGCACACCCGCCAAGGCCCCACACCCTCACACCCGCACACCCACCCCGGCGTGGACAGATGGCCCAGCCGCAGCCCTGCCCAGGAAAGCCCCCCACGCCTCCCCACCCTACCACACCCCCCACTGGAAAATGACAGGGAGGCCGCCCCGGCAGGACATGCCTAGCGCTTCCCCACTGGGGTTGTTTGGAAAGGAAAAGATAGAGATGCCCGCGAGTGGAGGAGAATGAGGAGAGGAGAAAGGAAAGAGCCCAGACCACCCCCACCCCTCCCCGACAGAGAAGAAAACCGAAAATCGGTGGCGTTACCCTTCTGGGAGCTCCCGATACCTACACATGGCTCTTCGTTACGTTCCTCTGCCTGCCACCTCCTTCTTCCCCGGTTCTTTCTCTGCCCTCCCCTCCCTCTCGGCTTCCCTCCCCGGCCGCGCTGCCCCTCTCTCACGCCCTCTCGCCCCCCGCCAGTCCCGCTCCTGGGCCAGGCTCCGATCCCTCGCGCCCGCACCTCCGCCCACTCTCTGGGACCGAGGGCCGGGGGCTGGCCGGCGGCTGTACCCTCTCCTCGGCCGATCTGGCTCTTCCCCCCTCGCCCCCTTTCTCCTTCCACACTCCCTGCCGTCCATCTTGAATACTTGGGATTCTTGAATGGAGTGAGCAGGATCCGCTCCCCCAGGCTCCCATTGGCTGTGGGTTAACCCTTTTGAAACGAGATCCTCCCTCCCATTGGCTGCCAGGCTCCCCTCTTCTCCCCCAACCCCCATCCCCTCCGCCTCCCAACAGCCGGCGAGGTCAGGGCGCTCCGGGCACCCCCTCCCCTGGCCTCTCAACCCGCTATCCCCACCCTAGGACGCCCCACTTCTTGCTCTTTCCATCACACCCCCAGCCCCCACAGTGCTGCAGGTGAAGACGATCCAGTTCCCGCCAAATGCGGCCCCAACATTGGCCAGGCAGAGCCCTGTACCCAGATGCCCTTTGCGCTGGACGTGTAGACCTTGGAAGATGCGAGGGGTGCACTTCCCTGCTCCCCTTCCATCCCTGCTCGACCAAAAGTACCTCTCCAGTAGGGAGTCCACGCAGTCTTTCCGCCTCACCCAAGGCGATCACAAAGCCCAGAGAGTGCCCTTGAAGCCACCAGCTTCCAGGGTTGGCCAGGAGGAGGGCAGCTCTGGAAAGATCTGGGACTCTTTTGAGAAGCTAATTCCCTGAGTGCCTGGGGGCAGGTCTGACCCTAGGAAGAATGTGCAGCATCTGGAGCTCCGCTCAGTCATAAACATCCCCTGGGACCAGCCCAGGCGCCTGGCCCAGGGGCTGGGCCCACTAGGGGATCTGAGGTGGGCGTCCAGAGAAGCATGGAGGAAGGAGGCAGCAGGGAATGGGGCAGTGAACCCGACCTGGGGGTCAGGGTACCTTTTCTCTAGGCCTAGATGTGCCCATGATCAGGTCATATCCCCTCTCTGGGCCTCAGTTTCCTTATTTGCAAAAGATCGGTCTAGAACAGTAATTTTCAACCTTTTCCATCTCATGACACACGCAAACTAATTACTAAAATTCTGCAACACACCCCCAAAATATAATTTTTTTCCCGATCTGACAAAAAATGGGGATAATTTTGATTCATTCACACTGGATGGCTATCATTGTGTTGGCTGCTGACATTTTGTTTACTGGACAGTTTAAGGGAAAAGAGGTCAGTGCCCCTGAATAAATAGTCGGGTATTGCATGTTCTAAAAAGTCTTGCAGCACACTGGTTGAAAATCACTGGTCTGCAAGACCACCGTTCTGTAGAAGTTTCTGTGTGAAGATGGACATGTTCTGTATCTGTGTCATCTAATATGGTGGCTACTAGCCTCATGTGGCTATTAAGCACTTGAAGTGTGGTACCGTAACTGAGGAACTGGCTTTTTAATTTTATTTAAATAGCCACGTGTACAAATAAATAAATAAATAAATAGCCACATGTAACCATAGTGGCCTCTGTATTGGAGGGTACACGTCAGGAATTCTTGTGGTCCTGCTGGTGAAGAACATTTTCAGATTCTTGTTAGGCAAACAAAAAAAATCCTTTCTCTTCATCCTCACATACAAAACCTTCCAGCTCCAAATCACAAATCACCAAGGGCCTCAACACCCAAGTGAGGTTCAAATCCCTGCCACCTTGGTCAGGACTCTTTTCCTTGTGGCCGTCAGTGTCTGTTCTGATAAGGGAGCTGAGATACACACACCCAGGACACAATGGGAGGTTGGGGCTACAAGGGACTTAGCAAGTTTGTCTAACTTTCTTGTTTTTTCAAGGACAGAAACCAAGATATTGACGTGGTGAAAGGAGAGGGGGCGTCACTTGCCCAAGGGCAAGAAGCCAGTTGTATTCGCTTACGAGTTAACATGCACCTATAAACTTAGTACATCTCTTCGTGGCTCTACATACGCACACACATGTACATCACTAGGTTCATTCATGAAGTGTACTTCTCTGACCCAAACCGAATGTGAACTGGGGTTGAAATCAGCCAGCACGGCTGACACCAAAGAACAGCCAGCTCCACGGGAGGGCCAACCAGGCTCTCTGACCAGCACGTGAAAACCCAGAGCTCCGGGGTATGCCAGGCTACAAGGACATGGACAGCCCAGATCCTGGTGTGGTTGAGGGATCCCTCTTCCTTGTGGCATCCCACACAATGAGGGGAGGAGGCTGTGCAGCAGGTAAAGAGTGCTCTGGCTTATCCTTAGACTGACCAGGAAGTAGAATTAGCCAGGGGCCTAGACTACTAAGAGGAGAATCAGGCTTCTAGTAGCTACAGGCTAGGACGGTGCATTCAGGGCCCTAACCCAGCAGAAAGAGAACTGCCACAGGGAGCTGCTAAAGGGGATGCTGCACCAGCCCGAGCTTGTACAGTGTTTGTCCCATCCCCGTGTCCCCAGGGCCTGGGTAACGTGCTATGGAGAGGAGAAGACAGAGCTGCCCGGGACTGGCTTTTGTTCTCAATACTTCTTTACTACTAGGCGGTTATGACTAAATGGCTTTCCTGTGACAACAGGCAAATAAAGAGTTCCGAGGAGGGATGGCCTACTCCCCACAGAGAATAGAGTCTAAGAAGTCTTCCTGGAGGAAATGGCATCTAAGACTTAAGAACAGAAAGGACTTAGACCTAGAGGACAGGAGGAAGGAGACAGAGAAAAGCCGAGGAGAGGAAGCAACAAACACCAAAGCTGAAAGGCGGGGAAACAGGATGTGTTCAGGATGGGTTGGAAATTCAGTGGGAACCTAGGATGGATGGAGGGGAATGGCAAGGATGGGAAGGCACACTGGGACGCACCGAGGTCTTGAACATTTCCCTTGAAATTTCCCTTGAAAATGGAGTCCAGGAATAGTTAGGCATGGTCCAACCTGTTACAAGAGTGTAAAAAAATTTTTACCCAGGAGCTATTTGGCTCCTCGCCACCTCCCCCACCTCCACATCCTCCCCTCCTCTGGGAGTTCTATAATGTGCTCAGGCTTTGCCGTAACCTCCCCTTCCATGCTATCCCCACAGCAAGTCTAGGACTGGTTTGAAGGTACCCCTTTGCCTTCTTCCCCAGTCCCCAAAGTCCTACCCAGATCTGTATTTGGGTACACCACCTGGAATTCTGTAATTGTGAGATGGGACGACCTCTGCCTCTCGGAAGGACTGAATCCTAAACACTGGAGAAGAGTTGGCTTCCTGCTTAAACGTCAACAGAGGAAACTTGGTAACCACGTGGCTCCTGATTCACTGAGGTGATAGAGGCCCTTCCCTGTGAGTCTCTTCACTGTCCCCTTCTTCCACGAAAAAGGGAAGAGTCCTGCAACCTTAGTCCTGCATCCATCGACCATGTATGTGACTGAGCACTTCCTATGTGAAAGGCTCTGGAGTCATGGCTGGGAAACATTCCTGGCCCCAAGGTGCTCACAGTGGAAGAGAACAAGGCAGACACACATGGAGGCAGTTAGACTGCAACAGTACCCCGATAGATGCAAGAACCCTCTTTCTGAGGCAAAGCCATTCCCCTGAGGTCTTGATCCTATTCTTGCTTCATCAATTGCCCCATTTATTGCATCTCCAATCCCTTTCCATAAGCCTAGAGCAAGGGTCAAGCAAGCTACTGCCCACAAGCCAAATCCTGCCCTATGCCTACTTCTTTGTAAATAAAGTTCATCAGAACACCGCCATGTTCATGTTCATTTGGTTACATATTGTCCCTGGCTGCTTTCATACTACAAAGGCACAGTTGAGTGGTTGCCATAAGACCCTACGGCAAACAAAGCCTAGGATATCTACTTCCTGACTCTTTACAACGAAAGTTTGCCAACATCTAGTTTGAGGGGAGTGTTGGACCCTGTTATCAGAAAGATGTAACAGAACTCAAGAAAAGCAACTGAAATTACCTTGAGGAGGGAGTGGGAGGACACAGCCCAGACTCTTCCCACAGCCTACCAGGAAAGTTCCCACAATGCTACTCGGTTTTCTACACCTCTCCTTCCTGTCCTACCCATCGTTATTTATTTTACATTTTTATTGAATTTATTGTGGTGACATTGGTTAAGAAAAGTATATAGGTTTCAGGTGTACAATTCTATGACCCATCATCTGTATATTGTATGGATGTTCACCACCCCAAGGCAAGTCTTCCAACATCATTTATCCCCTGCCATACCCTCCTCTACCTCACCCCACTCCATTTCCCTCTGGTCATCACTACTGTTGTCTGTCTATCTGCCTATTCTTAAACCCATGCTGTCTGGCTTCCGCCCCTATTTTCCACTGAAATGTTCCCACTGGAACCACCAATGACCTCCTCGTTATTGATCCATCCTTCTTTTCTCAGTCCTCATCACACACAACTTCTCTTCGGCATTTGCCTACTTTGGCTGTATTAGTCTTGAAATGCCCGTTGCTTCTGGATTGGATTGCCTCTTTCTTACCTCTGTGACTATTCCTTCTCTGGTCCTTTCCCGTGGGTCTTCTTCCTTCCCTTGCTGCCTACATGTGCACATTCTACAAGGAATTGGCCTTTGCCCTCTTCCCCTTCCATATTCTCTCGCTGGACAGAATCCTCCATGTGCCCCAGTTTAACAGCCTTCCATGTTGGTGGCTTCCAAACATACAACTTCTGAACTAAAGGTGCCCAGATCACTAACAGAAGGTCGTGCCTCCTGAGACACATCTTACTGACCGATGAGCTGAATTCATCCACCGTCAAACACAACTTCCTACACCACTGCCCTCACCTAATCACCTTTGCCTCTTCTTCCATCTGCCTGTTAACTGTTGCCATTCCCAAGAGATCTACCCTTGGCCCTTCTCTCTTTGGGAGCAGTTTCGCCCATTCTTACAGTCTCATCATGTGTGTGCATGAATCACTGCCCTATCTCCATCTCCAGGTGTATTTGCAGCTGCCTCCTTGGGTTCCCAAATACCTGTGTGAGGTAGACATCTGGTGCCTTTGCCTGCCCAGATCCCATCCCCTTTCTGGTAACTACACTTGAACTTCTCTTTGGAGAGACACTTAATCCCTGCTTTTGGTCCTTAGGGCTGATATCAGGCTGACGTCACCTGCTTCTTCAGGAACAGTCACACACCCAGGTGTACCAGTTGTCTATTGCTGTGTAATAAAGAAGTCGAAAACCTGGTGGCTTAAGACAACACATTTATTTTCCCATAGCTTCTGTGGGTCAGGCATCTGGGCAGGGCTTAGCTGGGTCCTCTGATCATAAACTCTCATGAGGTTGCAATTAAAGTATCACTCAAGGCTGGAGTCTCATCTGAAGGCTCCCGTGAAGGAGAAGGATTTGCTCCCAAGCATGCTCTCACAGCTGTTGGAGGAATTCAGTCCCTCAAGGGCTCTTGGACCGCGGGCCTCAGGTCTTTGGTGGCTGTTGGCTGAAGGCCACCCTCAGTTCCTTGCAATGTGAGTGTCTCTAATGTGGCAGCTTGCATCATCCATCTCAACAAGAGAGTCTGATGGCTAGTCGGAAGTCACAATCTGTTGTAGCCTAACACAGAAGTGACAACCCAACATTGCCATGTTCTATTGGTTAGAAGTAAGTTGCTCTCTTCCCATAAGTGGCCTGAAGTGACATCTGAAAATAGTTCGCTATTCACCTGACCCAGAAAACCCTACAAAATCGTGCGAGTCAAGAGGTTTGAATCATCGTGTTCACTTGAAGAACACTCGTGAAACTGCCCGGGCCATCAGGTGTATGCACATTCAAAGAGTCACTACATATCTGAAGGATGTCGCTTTACAGAAGCCACGTGCACCGTTCCACTGTTAAAAGGATGGAGTCAGTAGGTGTGCCTAGGACAAACAGTGGGACTGGCTACAAGGTTGGAGGTCGAAAAAGAGTGCTGAATTTTTGCTGAACATTTTTGCTTAAAAATGCAGACAGTAGCCATGGCTGGTGTGGCTTAGTGGACTGAGTGTCAGCCTGCAAACTGAAAGGTCGCCCGTTCAATTCCCAGTCAGGGAATATGCCCGGGTCATGGGCCAGGTTCTCAGTTGGGGGTGTGTGAGAGGCAACTGGTTGATGTTTTTCTCCCTTCCTTTCCCTCTCTAAAAAATAAATAAAAAATCTGTTTAAAAAATGCAGAGAAACATGCTGAGCTTAGGGGTTTAGATGTAGATTCTCTGTTCAATGATCATATCCAGGTGAACGAGTCTCCCAAGATACAGCCCAGAACTCAAAGAGCCCATGGGTGGATTTACACAAATGTGAGCTCTCCCTGCCACATGGAGCTGATCTTTCCTGAAAAAGAGCAGATCATTTCTAAACTAGAAAAGGAGTTTGCACAGAAGAAAAAGCTATCTCAGAAGAAACTGAAGAAATAAATTTACCCCAGGAATAAATTCAACACAAAATAAATGCTAATAAATGCCCAGTTGCCTGGGCCAGGGCCCACAGAGCAAACGTTTGCTGGCTGGTTCCATTCCCAGTCAGGGCACATGCCTGGGTTTTGGGTCCTTCCCCTGTCAGGGTGCATGAGTGCGAGAAGCAGCCGGTCAGTGTTTCTCATATCAATGCTTCTCTCCCTCTCCTCCCTCCCGTCACCCATTCTCTCTCTCCCTCTCCCCCTCCCCAAAAAAGTAAAACAAACAAAAAATAGAAATAAGTTACTCAAGAGGTGGGGATTACCCAAGAGTATGGTTACCAGGAAGTGGGATCACTGGGGGCCAATTTATAGGCTGCCAACCACAGCAGAGTTAGCCTAAATCACAGTGATTGATTTCAGGACGGGTGTCTGTCCAATCAGAGTCAGTCCTGATTAGACCTGAGATGTTTACTGGAACCCGTGGAGATGTGGCATTGCTGGTAGAAGATGGTAAGCCGAAAACGGGAAAGGATCTGCCTAAAGTGAAAACATCAAAAAGCACAAGAAGGCAAGAGATGGGGAAAGACAGATGCCGGCTAATCGTCATTGGAGAACTGAGACAGCCACGCCCACAGCAGAACCGCTGGGTTTTTAGCTATGTCAATAAACCAAGGCATTCCCTCTTCCACTTACATTGGTTTCAGTTGACTTCTGAAATCACCGACAACCAAAAGGCTGCTCACTGATGAACCGTCTCAGAGATGCCTCGGGTTCAGTTTGCCCAAACTCAATTTACTGATCTCACCTTCAGCTTCCCCACAAACCCGCTTCTCTTCCTAGGTTCTAGTCTGCGGTTGAAAATATAACGCAATTGCTTAGGCCGATAACCTTGGAGTCATCTTTGCTCTTCCTTGTCCTGTGGAAATTGGAACAGCCCATGCGACATGCATGGATTCTACAGAACCAGAGAACAGACTTTCTGCTTTGCAACGACAGGGGAGGCCCTAAGGTGACCCAATAAAACACACCCTTAAATATGGATAAGCAAGTAACTCTAGGTTTTTCTTCAGCTCATTAGAATCTTACATAATTTCTGGATGTGAATCACATGATTGAGAGGATGAGAATAGTGTATCTGACTCTCATATCAAAACACGCCATAGACCAAAATGAAGTTCTGGCACGCTGCCTAGTGAGCTTGTGGTTGGGAAGTCATCCTGGGCTGGATTTGTGAAAATATTCCTTTTGTATCTAAGGCAGATTAAAAGAAATTCTGTTGTTTGAAAGTCAGTCGTAGTTTTTTTATGTCTTTCTCCTTAGGGTTCCAATCGTAATTCTAACATTTACTTCTCGTTCCCCAGGACGCCTGGATCCCAGTCGTCTCAAACCCTGTGCGCGCCACCTCTCAGAGGTGCCCTGTTTTTTCCACCCGCTGCCAGTTTAACATCCACCTCGCAACACAATCCTCACATCATTCGTCTGCCTCAAAAACCCACGCTGGCTCCCTAGTGCTGAGACAATGCTTCCTGATGTTTATTGGGTCACAGACCCTTCTTTAAAAAGCTGATGAAACCGTGGGTAACTCTTTCTGGAAAAATCTGTACTTTGGGTTTTGCTGAACATTTCAAGGGGAACATGAACCCTCTGGAGCCCATGTCTGTACCCTAACACCCGACAACATATCCTCTCGTGTCCCTCAAGAGGAGACCTTCTTTTTTCAAAAGATCATTTATTTATTTATTTTTAGACAGAGGGGAAGAGAGAGAGAAACATCAATGTGCGGTTGCCTCTCGTGTGCCCCCCATTGGGGACCTGGCCCACAACCCAGGCATGTGCCCTGACTGGGAATTGAACTGGCAAACTTTTGATTCCCAGGCCAGTACTCAGTCCACAGAGCCACACCACCCAGGGCAAGATTAGGTCTTCTTAAAGAGCATATGTTCCAAACTTGTTAACATGGCATTCAAGGCCTTCCAAATTTATCCCTACCTGCTTTTTTCAGCTGCACCTCTGCCTTGGGGGGGGGTTATTTAATGTATGATTCCCCACCAGACCAAGAGCCTCCCTGAGAGTAGAGATTGCACCTTTTCATTTTTCCTTGTTTTATCTTCCCAGATGACATGAAAGTTTCTCAAGAGCAGCAATCAGAATGCCCAGAATAGTGCTGAATAAATTGTTGGTTCACTGCCAGATTTATTTTTAATTTATTTTATTGTGGTAAGAACACTCAACCAGCACTTACCATGAGATCTACCCACTTTAGAAATGTTTAAGTATACAGTACAGCATTGTGGACTATAGGGTCAATGTTATATAGCAGATCTCTAGAATTTATTCAGCTTGCTTAACCAAAAGTTTATACTGGCCGATTCGCAATTTCCTGTTTCTCCCCTCTGCAGCCCTTGGTGACCACCATTTAATCCTTTGATTCTAAGGACTTGACTATTTTAGATGGCTCATGTAAGTGGCCTCCTGCTGTCCTTGTCTTTCTGTGTCTGGTTTATTTCACGTAGCAAATTAAAACTGTCCAAAGTGCATCCTCGTTGTTGCATATTGCAGAATTTTCTTCCTTTTTTAGGGCTAAATAGTATTCAATTGTATGTATATACCACGTTTTAGAAATCCATTCAACTGTCGATGGACATTTACGTTATTTTTACATCTTCAGTGTTGTGACTTGTGCTGCAGTGAACTGCTAGAGTTACCATTCGGCGCAGCTGAAGGGCCTCAGGGTGGCGGGCCTAGCTAATAGGACGGGACGTGATAGGCTTCAAATCTGTAGTTGGGGAGAGTTCTCTTTGCAGCTTTAGTGGGCCTCATAGGTACAGGGACTTCTCAGAACTGTGCCATGATTTTGGTTTAGAAAATATAGGTTCCCCCCACCCTGACCCCGGGGAAGTTACTGCATTTGCCACTTACCGCTGCCAGAAATCCTTTTTTGGTAGCTCGGGTCCTTAGGACCCCAGAGAAACTTAAGGAACTGGCTCAGTTGGTGGATTCCTAGGTGAATTAACTGACTTCATATTATAGCTCTGACTCAACCCAACCCCCACACAAGCCAGGGCAGACATGTCTCCTATGTCCCTCCAAAATGGGCATTCTGAGGAAATCTGGGACCAGAAAATTGCTCCTCCTGGGCCACATTTCAAAATTCCTCCCACATTTTAGTCCTCCCCCTCCCCCTCTACATACATGGGGACATTTCATATCACATGGTGGGAAGTGGAAGGAAGACTTTATCAATCCATAAAAGTGCACATTCTGGGGAGGGGGGTGGCAAGGACTCTGTCTTGTGTGACACTCTATTCCCAGTGCCAAAAACAATGCCTAGCACATAATAAGCTTTCAGTTAATACTTGTTGAATGAATGAATAAATGAGAAAATGGGGGAAGGCAATGATCTTGGCTTCTAATTTATAAAAGTTTATCTTCAGAAACCTCTATACTTTCTCTGTGGGCACTTGATATCTTGTGATTTTACCCAGCCATAAACACCGAAGGATGTGGGTTCTACTAGACATGTCGGCACCAATTGGGATGACTTAAAATTTCTCCCCCATGCAACAAAGGCAGCGTCAGTAAAGCAGATGCATTCAACAGCCTCACGTGATGATATCGACCTGTTATGGTTTGGGTTATTAGTTAAGATTAGGTTCTACCTCATGACCCATGATGGCTACTCAAGCTCCAGCCATCATCTTTTATCCCAACCAGCAGAATGAAGGAAGGAGATTTCCCCAAAGTTACCCATGATACTTCTGCTTGTGTCCCATTAGGCAGAACTTAGTCACATGGCCATGGTTAGCTTCAAGGAAGGAAATCTCTATTTCAGGTTCTGTTACAAAGGGAAAAAATGGGCAGCATATTGGGAGAGATAGTTGAAATGGTTGGACTGGGGGGGCAGTTTGACATGAAAAGTTGGGCCTTGCCGAACCGGAGAAACCTCTGTGAACTCACGCTCCCATCTATGGAGCGATGGTCACTGCTCAGCACCACCTGAGGGCGGAAGAGTCCGAGACCAAGCTTAGAAAGTATGGCTGCTGGAGTCAGATGGCCATAGGTGCAGCTAGTCTCTGGGCCTCTCCTTCTTCCCTTTATGGGTGGGGGCGGGTGGGATAAACACAATACCCATTGTGCAAGGTTGCTTTACTACTGGGAGATCCCCGGGATGGAGTTATCACCCATGAACAGCACTTTCTTTTTGGTGGTAAAAACATGTATGACTGACCCTCGCAACCATTTTTAGTGTGGAATACAGTCGTGTTAACTATATGCACACTGTTGTACAACAGGTTCCTAGAAAGTTTTCATCTTGCAAAACTGAGACGTGGCACCTGTTGAGCACCAGCCCTCCCTGCAGCCTCTGGCAGTCACAGTTCTACGAGGACTTTGACTAGTGTGGATACCTCGTATGAGTGGAATCATACAGTATTTGTCTTTTCGTGGCTGGCGTAGTCATTAGGCATAATGTCCTCAAGTTTGATCCTTAGTGTAGCATATGGCGTGATTTTTCTTTTTTACTACTGAATAATATTCTACTGTATGTATATGCCACCTTTTAAAAACTCCCCTTATTATTCATCCAGTGGATCTCTAGGAGGCTTCCACCTCTTGGCTATTGCACATAATGATGCAAAAAGTGGTGCTTTTTATCAGAGACTAGTTAGTATCAGAGGCTGGTTCTCCTCTCTCTTTTAATACCCTTGGGGGGGCACTTTTTTTGTATGTAAATAAGTGTTAGGTTAAACATCATAGGTGGAAATTTAAAAAGGCGGATTAATAGGGAAATTCTGTAAATATCACATATCATTGAGCGGGAAAGGGAAAGGCGCCCTGTGACAATGACAGAGTATAGATTCTCCTTGGGTGGTCTGTTTGAACAGATAAGGAGAGACAATCTATAAGGTTGTCACATTGTTTAATCCGAGAGCAGCTGAACTTCCAGGCTCCAGATGTTTACTTACGAGAAGGGTGCAGAACCATGCCCCCGTGGTCCCTGGAGTCCTAAATCCCGGCCCC